GGGGAGGGGAGGCAAGAGGAGGGGAAAGGGAAGGGAAGGGAGGGAAGGGAGGGGAAGGGAAGGGCAGGGAAGGGAAGGAGCTGGGCATCGGTGGCTCACACCTATAATTTTAGCTACTCAGGAGGCTGAGATTTGAGGATGGCAGTTCAAAGTCAGCCCAGGGAAGGAAGTCTGTAAGACTCTTATCTCCAATAAACTAACTTAGAAAAAACTGGAAGTGGTGCTGTGGCTCAAATGGTAGAGTGCTAGTCTTGAGCACAGAGAGGCTCAGGGAACCCAGCCCATAAATAAGGGAAGGAAGGGAGGGAGGGAGGGAGGCAGGCAGGCAGGCAGGCAGGCAGGCAGGCAGGCAGGCAGGCAGGCAGGCAGGCAAGCAGGCTAGAGATTCCATCTTAACAGAAGAAGCTGAATGTAAGGTCCGCCAGGAAGGCACCTCCCTCCTTTTGGTTAAGCCTCCGCCCAGTACCTGCATTACCTAGTAACTGGCACACCTGGAAGCAGTTACCTCCCCCTCCTCCTCCCTCACATCCTGGGCTGCCTCTGGTCACACCTCCCATTGGACTGGGGAAGGGTCCCAATGTGGCTACACCTTACCTCACCTGGCCACACCTTCTCCCCTACCTACTTACACCCAGGCTGGACATTGGCCCGCCTCTTTTGACCATATGGGTCTATACCATGCACAGTGAGGTAGGCAGTTCATTAATAAAACTTCTCTTCCTGCCTGAATACCACGCGGTGTTCTCATTCATCGGCTACCTACTTTAATTTATATTACACTGAGCATGGTGCACCTGTCATCCAAAGAAAGAAGGGAAGGGGGGAGGGGAGGGGAAGGAAGGGAAGGGGACGAAAGAAAGGAAAAGGGAAGAGAAAGCTAGCCTAAAAATTCCATCTTAACAGAAGAAACTAAGCATGGTAGCGTGTACTTGTCATCCCAACAATGGTAGGAAGTATAAAATAAGAAGCTCATGATACATTTGAGGCCCTGGCAGGAAGCAAGATCTTATCTCAAGATAACAGCTGCAAAAAAAAGGGCTGGCTGTGTGATTCAGGGCTAACGCTCCTGCCTAGCAAGGGTGACTCACTGAGTTCAAACCCCAGTATAACCATGGACAAACAAACTCTCGGAAACATGCAAAGTAATGAGATTATTAAGATAAAGAAAATTATTTCCGGCAGGCTTACGATTGCTATGTATACACTGACAATACAGAAAGTACCAAGAAGACTCATCTGAGAAAAGAAGCTATGTTCTCACAGGCAAGCCACCACAGACAAAGACGACCCGCAGGCTGGCTCTCTTCCTCTGAAGGTCAAACTCCAGTTGAAGGTCCAATTTCAGTTAGGAATTTCAGAAATTAGGAAAAATAATAAAAGCAACTACTAATTACAAAATCTCCACTTTAGATCAGACACTGTGCTCAGCATTTATAAGCACATTGTTATTCAACGCCACAGCAAATTCATGAAAAAAGGCTTGCTCCTGCTCTTTATGGGTACAGATACAACACCTCAGAAATGCCCACCTTGGTTGCAATGCAAATATGAGGGGAAAGAGAATTTGGTAGGAGTAATATCTAACTCCACAGCCCACAGTTTTTCTACTATACGTGCTGATTTTTCTTTTTTCTTTTTTTTGCTAGTGCTCAACCACTTGAGCCATGCCCTACGGGCCCACAATGCTAATTTATATGTAGTTTTGCCTAGACTCAGACAGCACTAAAACATCTCTTTTGTCAATACAATAAACAAAAATTTTCATCAATGTGTGACACTCATATCCTCAAAATTAACCTCAAAATTCAGGTTCCTAAAGAAAAGCAGAGAAAGCAAACTTTACACAGTACAGAGCCACTTCCATTCACAGAGTCTTCCACCATTCATACATATGTTGATAAAAATGAGCTAATAAGAAGGCTGGGAAGGTGGCTCAGTGGTAGAGCGCTTGCCTTGCATGCATGAGGCCCTGAGTTCGATTCATCAGCACCACATAAGCAGAAAAAGCCCGAAGTGGCGCTGTGGCTCAAGTGGTAGAGAGCTCACTAAGAACTGAAGAGCTGAGGAACAGTGCCCAGGCCAGAGATCAGGCCTCACAACCGAATAAAAAAATAAAATGAGCTAATAAATATAGGTACACACTAACATTTATATCATTTCAGTCAGTGCCCTGATACCATGCAACTCATACTAACAATTACAGAGAACCTACTGCATATAAGGTCACAGTCTAAGTACTATTCAAAAATATTAAAAGATAAGAGTCTATATTTCTTGCCTCTAAGAATTTGTAATTCTAGCGTTAGAAGCAAGACAAACATGCAAAGGACACTTAAGAATAAAAGTGACATATAAGCATAATATTAACATAACACGACTGAATACTTACATGCCAAGGAAATAAAGCATTTTTTGGTCCAGTGAAGTTCCTAGATAACATGTCATTCTTAGCATTCTTGACTATTGCAAATGGCAGATGTAGTTAATAATGTCAAAATGTTAAAATGGATATAAGGATTTAAAAATCTTTTAAAAGTGGATATAATATTTTCTTATTTATATGGATAAAGACTCCTTCCTTGATGGAGACATTATTCAAATGATGGAATGCCTGCCCAGCAAACCCTAGGACTATTAAAAGAAAAAAAAAAAACTCCCTTTTCTTATCATTACTATCTCCAACACTACCTCCACTTAGTTTTGTTTAGAGTCTGGTGCTGACATACAAAAACAAAGCTGGTATCACGAATACAGCCAAGATCTAAACACATCAAAGTTTTCTTGGCACTGTCAAAGGCCTAAAATGAGACATAAAGTAAGGAAAGAATATAAATAATATCCATTAATAAAGAACAAGTATGTTTTCTAAAAAATAGAAGGCACACGCTTCTGTCCTTAGAAATGGAGCTCAGGGGAGTAAGGCACCTAAACTGTTTGGGCTGGTATTATATTCATGATGGTTTGTTCTAGGCTCATGTTCTTCTTGTTCCAAATTAAATACAAACATACTGTCCTTCAGTCCCTATCAGATACTCTGACTGATATGCTGTTTGTGTTTTAATATCCTACTATCAAAACCTGACTCAACGCAGACTTGATCTCCTCCTCCACATGTGGGCCCTCCATCCGCTCTCCAAGTATCCCTTGGCAGCTCTTAGAACTGGAATCTTCACTCAATCTCTTGTCTCTTACTTTAATCTATTCAAAACTCTTCTGATAAAAGAGCAACTGCTAGACCTGAAACACTTTAGTCTTTCTTTGGGGAAATGAAATGGATTTTCTTCATTTTCACACAAGAGAATCCCTGGGTAACAATTTTGTGTCCAGTCATGCCCATAATAAAAAAATATATAGGGGATGTTTTTTACTTTACTAGAGGCTGAAATGGTTTATGGAGTTCTTGTGCCGAATGCTGATAGATCATGAGGTCAGCGAGTGTAAAGGTGACCTGCAACCAGGGGACTGGGGGCAGTAGGGCATCATGGCACTTCATCAGCCTCAGCAGGAGGCTAGCTAAGGTCACAGGGGGAAGGGGCCAGCTCTATACCCCCTGAAGCCCTTCTCTTCTATTCCTGCCCCACCTGGACTAAATGAACTCAACCACTCTATACATATGACCTCTGGATTCAAGGCAAAGAATATCAGAGGGTAATTTCCAGTGGGAAAACTACAGAAGAACAAAACTTCAGCATTTGAGAGGGCGTTAGTGACCTTTCCCAACTCCCAAACTCATTAATTTGTATAGGTTATGCAGAATTTCAGAAAGTTTAAAAGATGATTTATTACTAAAGGGAGAATACAATACACTAGAATAACAGCTTTTGGATACTTTTTAAAAAGCTATCTTACCTGGGGCTGCAATATAACACCAGCTAGGGTGGTAAGGAAGAGGGGAGGATGTGCTGAGGATGAGGAAGGGGTAGGGGAGGATGAGGAGAGGGTGTGTGGTAGATAAGGGAAGTGTAAGGGACGATGAAGAGAGGTGGAGGGGAGGGCGCACTGAGGATGAGGGGGGAAGCAGGAAAGGAGGGGAGGGTGCACTGAGGGTGAGGAGTAGGGAGAGAGGGTGCACTGAAGATGAGGGGAGAAGTAGGAAAGGAGGGGAGGGTGCACTGAGGATAAGGAGGAGAGGAGGAGATGGGGAGGGTGCACTGAGAATGCAGAAGGAGGGGAGGAAGGGAGAGGACACTGAGGATGAGGAGGGAAGAGAGAAGGGTACACTGAGAATGAGGGGGGGAGTGGGAAAGCATGAGGGGAGGATTAAAGCCCACCCATTAAGCCTCCTTTGCCCCATGCCAACCAAATATAAAACACCTATTCTGTCTAACCCCCTTTGATGGCTACTGACTAGAGACAGATTACAGACATTTAGAAATGCACATGACATCCAAAACTCTCCTAGTCTAGGCATTGTCAGGAACGCCTCCAGAAATAATTCCCTTAGCTTTTGTGGGAAGAACACATCCCTAACATTATTTCCATTTGTAGTATGTAGCATGGGGTTTAAAAGGCATTTCTACTTCTCATGTGTCCCCCTTGTCCTTTTTTTCCATGTTTCCATATATAAATTGCATGTTAAATAGCTTCATAGTACTTCCTAAATAATAAGACACATTATTTTCCTGAATTTTTCTTTTGATTCAGTAGCTGATAACCTTGAAAAACTCTTCTTCCATTAGAAAGAAAAAAAAATGCTCGCTCCTTCTCAAAGTCGAAATCTCCTTAAATAAAAATTAAAATCATTTATTAACTACGAGAACTAACCTGCATACTCGGGCTGGAAAATACAGCTTTTGCCAAGACCGGCACAGATACTGTGAATGATCTATCACTCTGATCCAATCAAGTTCATCCATTGATACTTCAATAAAGTAAGAATAAGACCTATGAGGTAAAAGGTAGAGAAATTATTATATTAACAATACAAAGCTATACTTACATAAAACATTAAAAGGTACCAAAAATGCAGAATTCACTAATTACATTTTCTGCCTAACAATAAAATTCAGATAATAATGAAAGCTGTATATAAGCTACTAGTAGCCAATAGTGTACCATTCATCACAGTGTATTAAAATTAGCTCTCAGCTTGTTTGTCTGCTTCATCCAACCATAAACTGCTGCAAAATAAGGACCACATGCCTGGCACATGTTAGGCTTTCAAGACATTGTTCTTTTCAAGCACAGCCAGGGTAATCTGGATATATACCACCACATTAGCAATTAGTGAAGCTGGGGATGGGGGGAGGGGGCGCAGGGAGTGCAGGCAGAGTAGGAAGGAAAAAAGGGGAAAAAGGAGGTATGGAGGGGAAGGAAGAGAAGCAGGAGGTGTGCCTTCTTCCTCCAGGGTCCTTGGCCTGGTGCTGGCCCTCCTTTCTCAGGAGTAAAGCTGCATTGGAATGGTTCCCCACAGAGGCCAGCTCATCTCCTGCTACCTCTCAGTCTCCCCATGTCTAACACATAAAAACAACCTCAAGAAAAATAAATGACAATGAGTATGTGCTTCTTTGGGGGTACAACTTAAAACTTGCTGGCTAATATCCTGGCAGTAATGAAAATAGCCTATCATCCTCCTCTAGTCAGCTACCCTGGACCATTACATGCTGGTCCCACACTGAACAAATCTATATTGCATTGTCATAAGACAAATTTAAATTTGAGATGCAGTTATTACTTGTACTGCAATATCAACAGGAACAATCTTGGAAGATTTAGGTGACCATAAATGTCAGGCTGCAGACCACAGTTGTGACCAGAAAAGGTCAGCTTATTTTGTGTCAACCCCTCATTTTCTTCTGTCCTCTCAACTCCCATTCATTTTATTGCTCAGTCTCATACTGCTTATAACCTTTTATTGAACCTGCCTGGGTTATCAGTAATACAGGATATAATTTTACAACATGTCAGGATCTTTTTGGCTTAAGATTTTGAATTTTTCCCCTTTGCTAAGAATGTTATCATCTGTGAGAAAAGAAAAGTTTCACAGTAAACAGTCCTAGGGAGTATAACAGGTATTAAAACAAAGTGATCCATAAATTTTTTGTATCATGGAAACAATGATCATCACTTTCAGTTTCAAGCATACTTTTTCTTTTATTATTTTATATCTATTTCATTATTAATTAAATGAGTGAAATATGAAAGCTCTTAATACAGTGCCTACCACATAAAAGTGCTATGTAAATAGTATTATACAATTACTAATAGACACACTTGAAAATGAGGTACGTGAATTACTTCTACTTTGGCAATTAAACATCAAATTATATTCACTAAGACACATGTCAGGAAATATATTCTTAAGAAAAATGAAACAGAGAACAATCAGTTGAGGACACCAAACACCAGTCAGAGGAAAACACCAGAGGAAATGCTGAATCTCACCTCATAAAACTTCCCTCCTACTTGGTTCAAATGGCCATAAAAGCCAGCGTGGTGGACAGTGGCACTAAGAGAAATGTCATACTTGTAAGTAGTCTGAGACACATTTACTACCACTATCAGCCCATAAGACTGGAGTAGAGTGCTTGCCTAGCAAGCACTGGGTTTGATTCCTCAGTACCACATACACAGTAAAGGCCAGAAATGGTGCTGTAGCAAGTGGTAGGGCACTAGCCTTGAGTTAAGGAAACTCAGGGACAGTGCCCAGGCCCTGAGTTCAAGTCCCAGGACTGGTAAAACAAAAACAAAAAAACACTTCAGCCCCGACCCAAAAAAGCCTGAGTGGGGCATAGTTTCCAGGTATGCAGAGTTCAACAATGACAAGTAACCACAAGACAGTCAGCTGTGCTCATCCACTACTCCAATGCTTCTGCCATTATGGATGGACTCAACAAGCCACAGTGGGCAAAGGCACTGCAGTGACTGGAAGGAGCCCTGAAGCAGCTGAGGAGCTGGATGGGTTCTCAAAAATTTCTTTTGAGAGCCGGGCGCTGGTGGCTCACGCCTGTAATCCTAGCTACTCAGGAGGCTGAGATCTGAGGATCGCGGTTCAAAGCCAGCCCGGGCAGGAGAGGCCGTGAGACTCCTATCTCCAATAAACCACCAGAAGACCGGAAGTGGCGCCGTAGCTCAAGTGGTAGAGCGCTCGCCTTGAGCTGAAGAGCTGAGGGACAGCGCCCAGGCCCAGAGTTCAAGCCCCACAACTGACAAAAAAAAAATTTCTTTTGAGAATATTTATTCACACATCTAGGCAGTTTCTTTAACCATAAGATGAAATGTACTTAAAAAGTTACTGAAGCCAGACGCCAGTGGCTCAGACCTGTAATCCTAGCTACTCAGGAGGCTGAGATCTGAGGATCACAGTTCAAAGCCAGCCTGGGCAGGAAAGTTCATGAGACTCTTATCTCCAATAAACAACTAGAAAACTGGAAGTGGCACTGTGGCTCAAGCAGCAGAGCACTCGCCTTGAGCTGAAGAGCTGAGGGACAGCACCCAAGTCCAGAGTTCAAGCCCCACAACGACAAAA